CACGTACCATTATAATGCTGGAGAACATTCAGACGTTATTGGTATAACACAAATTTCCATATAACTTACGGAACTAAATTGGCTCTTGCAGGAAGCTAATTTAACTTCATATATTTTCTATTGTTTGTGTTTCATCTTCAACATCCATGTAGAATACAAAATAACATATGAAATCAAAATTCACCTTAGAGCATAACAGTAACCAAACATAATCTTGAAGTAGCAAAACCGTAATTCTGTAATAAACTAAACTTAGGTCTTGCCAAAAATCAAATCAGTTACAGAAGTGGTCTCTCTTTACTGCTCCACAGACAAGAGAATGATTAACATCCTGCAGGCAATACTGTATTTTTTTTTTTCTTTCTGACAAGCTAGCTTCAGTTTTAAAATTGCAGTTTTACAGGGACAAGTTATATCACAGGCAAGCTGTACTAGAAGCCAGAATAAGCTTGTGACAATTAATTTCTGTCAAACATATAAAACCTCAGAGCAGTATATATGAAGGGCTGATAGCAATCTTCACACAGATCCTGACAATAGCAGCCCAGCAGAAAATGAGTTTCCAATATTTTCTCTTGCAGCTGTCTCTCTAAAATTGTGTATGCAGGATACTATCCACAGAGCAGGAATACTAGGCATAATTTTGATATACAACCTGTTTTGAATTAATATATTAAATGTATTACAGAAAATAAACTCAACAGACCATTTCTGCTAATATGATTCTTTACATGAGAAGGCATATTTATTGTCAAGTATAGCCCGGAAAGTACTACATTGTCTTTTCCCCAAAATGCAACACCTTCAGGAGGAGGTTTGGCTCTTAGAGAACCATCTGCTAACATGTTGTAAAAACTGCATGCGAACTAAACTGTGTTGCAATTAACTCTATAAGTGTACTCTTCTGTTAAAGGAATTACACATGCGATAGCTTGGGGGAGGGGGGAGAATCCTAACAACTCTCTTGTTTACCTCATCAGTTCTGAAGAATTCACATGGATTCTTCTGTTTACTATTACTTCACATTCCAAATTGCACTGCCCTGAAGGACATCTGTGTAATAAGAAATTTTCTCTTTTTTATCAGGTTATAATTATATATATAAAAATATAACATATTATACTTATATTAAATTCTTTGCAATTTAATCTAATGAAGACATATGTAGAAACTATTAAGTGTATTCATTTTCTTCCTATTCATACCTGGCCTTTCCACTAATTTAATATGTAACTAAGGTAACCTTTGAAACACACTTTTATAATCTTCAGGGCTACATAATTACAGACCTAAAAACTTTTTTTCTGGCACAAGCATCAATACAAAAACTGAATTTGCTTTCATGAATTTATAGGTTACCCATTATGAAATAATATCAGCACTTACAAGAAGGCACAAGAAGATACTCTGAAATCAGCAGCAATTCGCAAGTCATGGTTATGACAGCCACTAAGAAATGTTAAGATAGCATATCCTGAAGTCATACCCATTAAACATTTTCAGTCATTTTTCTTTTTCTTCTGGTAATGTTCAGCTCCCTATCCTGTTTCAGAACTAAATCCAGACGAAACAACCATCACTATAAGTCTAGAGACTGAACGACAGGCCTAAGGCCAAGAAATGATCTATTCAGTTGGCAAAAGCAAGCAGTGAAATAAGAAACATTTTTACTAAACAGCAGTGGTAAGTGAAAATATTAATATACAGCTGCAGTTCTAATATAAGCAAAGAATGCTCACCAGGGAGTATTCGATAGCTATGTTTTACAAAGAAAACATAGGTTTGCTTGTGTGCTAAATTTGACTGTACTGTTTGTCTATGAGGAAGGACTGTCAAACTGAAAAACAAAGGTCAGAATCTGTTCTCATCTTTTACTTCTCTAGTTCTGATCAGAATCTGGTTCAATAGTCTAAGATGTTGTGGTGGGTTGACCCTGGCTGGACGCCTGGTGCCCACCAAAGCTGCTCTGTCACTTCCCGTCTCAGCTGAACAGGGGACAGAAAATACAATGAAAGGCTCCTGGGTCGAGATAAGGACAGGGAGAGATCACTCACCAATTACTGTCACAGGCAAAACATATTCAGCTTGGGGAAACTAGTTTAATTCATTACCAATCAAATCAGAGCAGGATAATTAGAAATAAAAACTAAATCTTAAAACACTTTCTCCTCACCCCTCCCTTCTTTACAGGCTCAACTTCACTCCCAGTTTTCTCTACCTCCTCCGAGTGATGCAGGAGGACAGGGAATGGGGGCTGTGGTCGGTTCATCACACAGTCTCTGCTTCTTCCTCCCCAGGGGGAGGACTCCTCACACTCTTCTCCTGCCCCAGCATGGGGTCCCTCCCATGGGAGACAGTCCTTCAGGAAATTCTCCAACAGGCTGCAGTTTTTCGCAGCCTGCTCCAGCCTGGGTTCCTTCCAAGGGGTGCCATCCTTCAGGAACAGACTGCTCCAGTGTGGGTCCCCCACGGGGTCACAAGTCCTGCCAGCAAACCTGCTCCAGCCTGGGCTCCTCTTTCCATGGGCCCACAGGTCCTGCCAGGAGCCTGCTCCAGCATGGGCTTCCCACGGGGTCACAACCACCTTTGGGCATCCACCTGCTCTGGCGTGGGGTCCTCCCCGGGCTGCAGGTGGAGATCTGCTCCACTGTGGAGCTCCATGGGCTGCAGGGGGACAGCCTGCCTCACCATGGTCTTCACCAGGGGCTGCAGAGGAATCACCCCCCCGGGCACATCCTCCTCCTCCTTCTTCACTGACCTTGGTGCCTGCAGAGTTGTTCCTCTCACATATTACCACTCCTCTCCAGCTCCTGTTGTTGAGCAGCAGGTTGCTCCCCCATCTTAACTATGTGACCCCAGAGGCGCTACCACCATCACTGATGGGCTCGGCCTTGGCCAGCGGTGGGTCCATCTTGGAACTAGCTGGCATTGTCTCTGTTGGACATAGGGGAAGCTTCTAGCAGCTTCTCACAGAAGCCACCCCTGCGGCCCCCTGCTGCCAAAACATTGCCACACAAACCCAATACAGATGTGTAGAAAATCACTTATAACAAACTCCTTTCTTTCCTGTACTTAAAAGATACTTCGCTTTTCCTGTCTAGTAAACTTCAATGATTTTGGAGTTCTTAATTATTAACTATAAACTTCTCAAAATCAAAGGTTACTGTCACTAACAGAAACCATTCGTCTCCTTTCACAAGGGGTACTGAAAGGCAACATAGTTTATGAATTATCTTACTGTTTATAAAACAGCATACATATAATATTCTGACACCTTTAAAAGAAATCTAAAGACAAACTCAAAGACAAGGCTGAGGAAGCATATTGTCCAAAGGACTGAAGAAATACTTGGTAGATTCAATCTTTGAAATAATTATGGGATTATTTGACAACGGAAGCCTCTCTGGAACTGTAAGTACTGTTCAATTTCTACCATACTGAATATTAGAAATAACATCTCTATTGAGCGCTGCTTAAAATAATAAAGCATTGACCAACAACAGCATAAGCAATTTGGTAAGCTGAAAAGCTCAGTCTTCTATTCAACCTTTCTTTAAAATGTAAGTTAAAAAATACTAAACATTTTCTATAGGAACTTCAGAAATTAAACTAATTAATTGCTAGGGAAAGCACTGTATTACAAAGACTTTTTCCATTTTTTCCCTGTACTGGACTGCAAAGAGGTGGCGTGACAGCAGCAGCCTTTGCTACTCTGCAAAACATCCTATATGGGTTATTGCACTACTAAAAAATTGTGTGACCTCACATTCCTCAGAGCACAAAAGATAATTCATCAATACTGAAAAACTCTTTTAAAGAGTCTTTCCAAGGAATAGTTGGAATTGCCGGGATAGTTTTAAAGGACACCAGTGAATTACAGACAGTACTGTTCTCTGAGAGTTTTTATTTAGTATCTGTAAACAACATAGTTTAAGTATAGACTCATAGACAGATAAACAACTCCACTCTACCTTGTTTTGGTCTAGGTACTGACTGCTGTTTCTCAGCTGATATTTACACTCCATTTAATTTATATATTCCTACTGACTTGAACTGTATCTTTGGATGCATTTTATCTGACTGGCAAAGGCAGTGGCCTTAGCTCCACTGTTAAAGACAGTTTCACTCTTGAAGTGAACATGTGGGTGCACCTGCATAGTAGCATGTACCTGCCACATCTTTCAGTAACTTCCTAATCACTAAAGGAAGGCAATTAACATTGAACAAGCCACAGAGTGGTTCCACAACTGCTCCAAAACCAATCTCAAGATAAAGCAGCATGGAATCCAACTCCATTCCTCTGGCAGATGAGTCATGTCCTTCTCCTGCATTCCCCTTATGCTCCAGGAGTGCAGAGAAAGCCCAGATTTTACTTCATACATAAATGAAAGTTTATGTATAAAATACATAAATATAGATATACATATATATGTGTGTGCATATATGCACTTATGTATGTGGGAGTGGTAAGTTACAGTTAATTCACTGAGATTCAAGAGTGATATGTATAACATACGGAAAACACAAAACTTAAAAGACTCCCCAGACGAGGAAAGAATGTCACTGTCTCTCAGTGCTGTGCTCAGCATGAACACAAAGGACAGAACTACGTAACTTTGCAAATCAGGTAAGATGCATTAAAGATACAGTTCTTTAAGTCAGTAAGTATGAATATACAAATTGAAAGGGGTATAAATGTCAGCTGAGAAACAGCATACACTACTTGGACCAAAACAAGGTAGAATGGAGCCTTTGTATCTACCTACAAACCTGCACTACATTTTTTACATATGCTAAATAAACATATATCAGAGAACAGTACTGTCTGTAATTAATTAATATCCTTTTGAACTATGCTGGGAAATTTGTCATGTAGCCTTTGCAGTTGTTAAAGGTAAATTAATGTTGAGTGAATTAGCACCAACTTATCTTTGTGCTCCATTCTCATCTAGGTTGTCAAAAAGTCTTTAAAGTACTTAAACTAGATTGACAAGTTGTACCTGCTATTTCCGTAAGCATAGTTGTGTGGTCATTTTCTGCCAACTTCACAAATCCAACTTCATTTTTGAAGTGATCAATTCCTTGAAAAGACAAATCCACAGTTTTTCCTTTCAGGAAGTCTTCTACAAAGTCCTTGCTGTCTGAAAGAGCACCAACTGCTCTGTCAAGAGGAAAGAAAATATGATTGTGAAAGTCAAATATATTTATACTGTTTACATTGCATTAATCATTCTATCAAAAATCTCACAAAGCTTTATTAGTATCAATTTGTTATCTACTCAGGTACTGCTTCCTATCAATACAGTCAGTATTATTATTACCATTTCATAAAGGTAAATTGGTTATATACCCTGCTGCAAAACCACAGAAATAACAAAGCGGACCTAGCAGCAGGTATAATTCCTCAAAAGAGTTATCTCAGTCCTCAAGGTGACTAAATATTAAGATGATAGTGTCTCTATTATGTGCATCCCATTTAAATAAGATGTTTACTCGGAAGCATTTGGTTTTCCATTCTTAATTTATTTTTTTCATCTCCTGATAGCTCAGATGAACACTCTAAGATTCTGCTTTATTCAAAGTTACTACAGAGTATTACTTAATATTCTAAACAGAGGTTAGTGACTTTATATCTATATATAATGATAAAATTCTATGGAAATTACTATTAGGCTCATTAGGAACTGTTATTAAAAGAAGTACTATCTAAATTGATGCTAACTTTCTTTAAGAGATAAGTAGCATGCACACATAATCTACAAGTAACTTAAGAAACAGAAGCAAACCCAGTAACCGTTTAATAATCATTTTAATTAATCATATTAAGTGCATGTATGATTACCATGTAATATTTGACCTGCACTTGAAGTCATTCACATGCTAAACAAAACCTGTATAAACATTCTCAGTGTCTTCTAAAAAAATCTCCCACATGCTCAGAGTTTTTAATTCTATTCAATGAAAATGAATGTAAACTTTTTACGAAACCGATGTTGACTTTATAAACGCTAGATGGCAGTGACAGGTTAAAAACTCTCAAAAGAGTTTATTTTACTTTTTCTATCCTAGCTGCATGAAAGCCATCACCGTGATTTCTTAAGTAGGCTAAATTATATTCTTGAAGCCTGGACAATTACAAACAACTCTACACACATTTCCATTGTGTTCAACAAGATGGTCTCTTGATGAGAACTATGTATTTAATTGAAACCTAGGCCAGGTTAAGAAATACGTAAGGTTTATCACATGACAAAAAAAATCCTTGACTGATATGGTTCTCCTGTGTTTTTATGCAGCTTTAATCTACAACCTAGAAGTATTTTAGGTCCTATATAACTACTTCAAACAACAATGCCACTACTCATTCCTTGGTAAAGATCTTTTTCTTTGAGCATAGTCTCTGCCACTTACCTACTCTTTTATCACCATTAGACACGCCTGTTCCTGTGTCTTCCATATATGCTATACTTCAAGACCCTTCAAAAACACCATCTAATACTGATTATACTTGTCAGAGTACTTCACAGGTAATCATCTGTAGATTTATTTACCAACATGAACCTGAAAATTGCTCCAGAACAAGTACAGGTATTTCAAATACACTGTGTCAAATACACACTGGCTTTGAAGTACTGAATCATGCACATAACTAAAACCCATCTCAGGATTTTTTGCATCTGAGAACAGGTGTACCGAGTCTGTTCCCCAACTGAAGAAAGATTTGTACTTCCATACTGTAGGGTGTGCTGCAGAACTCACCAGCTCAACTCTACCTGATGAGGCCTATGAAAGGTCAATTCAATCAGTGCAGTGTGTTTTCAGTTTAGCACTGTGCCATTGAAAGTTCAGTTCTACTTTTATATATAATCTTGTAAACACTAAAATATTTAGAAAAACTGTTGTCATCTCACTCTAGCATAATTTGTATTTTCATATTCTCTTTATCATTTTTTAACAGCTAACAATTGCTTTGTAAGAATAATGCACAAGGACAAACATTTCCACTGAAGTCAATAGCAATGAACACAACAGTGGTATTTTCTTGTTACTCCATACCAAGTAGTATTTACGATGCCAAATAGTTACACTCAGTGCACCTAACCCACAGGGATAACAAAAAATTTTACAAGCATTTTGCTCCAAAGTGGGGGAAAAGAAAAAAAAAATTAAGCAGCATATTTTAAGTGTATACAAAGTAGGATTATAGAAGCAGTGCCTGTTGTTTTCTATATTGTTGTAATGTAAATATTATAGCACTTCAAATTGATGTAGTTTCTTTTGAGAAATTTCTGAATTGTTGATTTTGATTACTTGTTAGAAAAAACAACCTTGCAAAAAAAGCCAAACTGAAACCTTTCAGATATCATATTTATAATAAAAAGGTTAGATTCACAGAGTCTTTGGCAGATAACAAGCAAGAAGAACGTGACACTACAGTCTGGTAATGAAGGCATTTACTGCCAAGGCAGGCATCCTGATTTCTAGTACCTGATCCCATGACTATGCATACAGTTAGCATGGACTAGAACTCCTTTGCTTGAAGGGAGTGCTATCAGGACTTTGCTTGCTTTACAGTTTTTAAAATCTGACATTCATGATTTCATATAGTCCTACAAAGAGATGTAAAGTGCATTCATGAAGGCTAGACCACAGCCAATCAGCTAGGAAACTCGCATGGGAATTGCAGGTCTGGGTTCTCTTAGAAAGAGCAGCCTTAGAATACAGATCTTCCATTTTCAGGGTGAAAGCTGTATGTACTAAAATACCATACAAAGGGCTTTGTGCTGAATTGAATGTTATGTTTAGCACATTCTTATCACGCGTTTTGACTTCAAATAGCGTTGAACACATTTTGTTCGTATTCGCCTTGTATAGACAGAGGCACTATTGTGCAAACACAGTAGAAAAACTGTAGATATCTAAGTAACTTAATGGATCCAAACCTAAGAATCTGTGAACTCTCAGATGACCAGTTGACTAGCTGCACTTTGTTTAAGGAATTACTATCGCCCTACATTACACACATGTTCTTTTGCCAGCCTGGATCTTGGTTTCTTTCCATTAACCTGGCATCAAAAATTGGTGAAGCACAGAAAGGAAAATTCAATTTTTTCCTTTTCAAATTCTCACAAAAGATTAAACAGAAAACATCAGTTATGAAAAAAAAAATAATCCCATATAATAGAAAATGCAATCTAGAATACCTGAGGATAGCTGAGCTAGATACCTGTAGGAGGCATCTGGCCAGGGAAGGGGTGAATCACTGGGGAAGCTGCTGCTGACTAGAGGACAGCTCCTGGGTGCCTGGAGTTCTGCTGGGAGAGGCAGAGAAGAACTCCATAAGTACACGCTTGAGTGGCAGTCAGACAGTGAGAGCTGAAAAGGAACTGAAGGAGTAGCAGAATTTACTGAGTATGGGAATATTTTTTTTGATATATAGTTTAGGACTCTAAAAAATATTCATGAGGAGGCATATTTGCCTTTGTGATATCCTCTCACATTCCCTTTTTAAAAAGTTCATACTTCAAGCCTTTTTTTTTTTTAAAAAAAATCTTGCACATAATTGGTGGTTGCTCTCACCGACTTTCAGGTGCTACCACAATTTTCTCAACCAACTAGGGCAGGAGGAAGCTGGTGTGCCTACTCCAGGAGACAAAAGTCGCATGGAGAGGAAAGGGAGTCCAGCAGAGATAGCATCCTTTGCTTTCCTTTCTATTCTCTGTTCCTGGCTGTTTCTCTCCCTTTAGATCAGACCATTGGAGACAAGGATGCTGACAGACTCGCATCCTCGCAGGAGAGGCAAGAGTGTAGAGGCCTCAAGGACATAGCATTCAAGGAAATAAGTATGGAAAAAAAAAGCAGAGCAATTGATTTAGACATACTGATCTCTCATTATTTTTAGGTGTGTTAAATGTTTTTAGCCAAAATACTTCTACTTAGTAGAAGCATGCCCTTGACTACCAAATTGTTCCTACATTCTATCTTGGATTCTCACTTTCTTATGCGCAATCTGCACTTTAACAGCCAAATCTAGTGGCGTGAAAAATTATTCAATACCCACTTATTAGACTTTTTTTTTTTATCTGTATTACCATAACCAAAGCAATGTCTCACTGCACTTATTCATTATTTGATCTACATAATTCAGTACATGGACCGCAAGCCTGCTAACACTGTAAAGAAAACCAGTAATATGTAACATATTTGACAGAGGGCCCCTGAAAGAACTCATTTGGGGGAGATGAAACTGTGTGGCTTCTCCTTCACAGAATTATAAGGATCTGATGAATTTTGATTCATTAGCAATTCACTACAAAATTGACACACAGGCAATGGAGGATTCCCAGATGTTCAAATAATGCCGGTAGGCCATTTACCAGCATTTTACATAATACTCTGTTACAGTTACCAAAATGTTTACAATCTCAATTCTGCAATTTTAATGCGTGAATATAGAGACATCACATATGCAGACCATTGGGCATATATCTAAATAGAAACAGTTAAGAAAGTACAATGTATGTTTTCATTTCAAGTCAAAATTACAGCTAGAACACAAATTATTATTCTGAACATTCACGAATTACAGCTGTATAGACAGACTTAAAAGTCTGAACATCTTCATATTAACCATTGAACTTGTACTTTAAAGCACGCTTGTCAGACTGCAGTACAGCATGTGATGAACCGTAAAAAACACCAGAAAACTGAATTTTTATAAAGCAAGTAGTCGCTTAGACACATGACATCATTGTATAATACATACGCCTTTCCACAACTTTGCTACTTTTTATATAATCAAAAAAAATCAGATGCATCGCTGAAGCAACATAAAAATTATACTTTTGATAAGGCCTTATAGCTACCTCTCTTTTAGCGTACTTAAAATTTGAGTATAATAAATTCATTTAGGGACATTAAAAAAAACCAGTAACTGCATGAAGCATTTGCTTGGAGCTAAGGTTTATTTCATTAAAGTCTTTCAGTGACAGTTACTACTTATAACAGCTATGAAATTCTGAAAATTCCCCTGTTAATCTGTTCAGTGTCCCCTATATCAAAACATTGTTTTAAAATAATTGCTTTAGCAAACATGAGATTTGTGCATGCAAGTTCAGCACACAGTATGAAAAATGCAAGGGAAAAAAGCATACTTTCTTCAGAGCTCATGACATAAGTTATGAAAATGGCTAATAATCAGATTATCATTATAAGAATATGAATTAAATGGTCAGTAACCCTAGTAATTTAGGGCTGACACAAAGTAAGCACCAGCTACCCCTTCTAGTCTTTTTATGAACTCTGTATATACTTAATTTAACACCAAATACCTACATGCTAATTTCTTCTTCATTGGATAAATGCATCACTAACATGGTGACATGCAATGAGCCAGAGTGAACCATTGCTTTGGAAAGCCTTTGATCTTTTTGTATTATTGCATCTTGGACAGCCTGAATACCGCCAGTAATCTGGGAAGAAAGACAGACACAGAAACAACAGTTAGTCATTACAATTACTGTATCCCATCATGCAAGCGAACAAGAAAGCACACAAGCTGAAATCAAACGTTTATGTAAAAACCATTCTAGCAGAAGAAAGTTTTATCCTCTGACAAAGCTGTGCTAATTGACCCGAGTTAACCCAAAGTGGGTACAAATGGAGTGATTAATAAATCACTGGACACTCCCCATCACATCTTAATAGGAGTTTGCTTCCATAAGTATGACAAATTCCTGGAGCTGTTTAAGATCATCCAGTTTTGCAGTGCCGGCAATCCAAATAAAAAGGCTTCTTCAAGGACTTTGCCTGCCTGCTTTGCTAAACTTGTATGTTGCTATGTGCAGAGAAGTGTCTGGAAAAAGACAGACATCTTTGCAGGACCGGACACATACGAAACAGCAATATTCAGTAAGTTATTTGTAGAGATATCCAATTTACAATTCTGATTATACTGTCCAATAGACAGATACAATTTATATACTCTCTTCAAACATATTTTAATGAATTTCCATACAACATCTATACAATTCTAATTTATTCAGTCTTTTTCTTTAAAAATATTTGAATTGCATTTTATTCATTGAAAATTACTTCTATGGTTATACTTTATGCTTTATGAATTGTATCCAAAACGTTTACTGTGCTTGCAATTATGATAGTTGTACTGTAGTGATTTAAAAAGAGCAAACAAAAATATTCTTGAATATGTTAGTGGAAATTATATAAAATCTAATAACCTTGAACATGTGACAAAATGAGTTACTAAAGCATGGTAAGCAAAGACATTACAGACAAATCAGCTTCGGTGTATAAAGTCTAAAAGAAATCTGATCAAATCTGATTTTTTTTTAATTTTAAACTCAGTGGTGAATGCTTCACAAATATATTGTACATATTGACTTCTATAACATAAGTACAAGTAGCTCTTAGGTTAAAAAAAAAAGCCTTTATATATTTTGGTACTGTTAATCGTAAGGAACACTTAAACTTCCTGAAAAAACACAATCTAATGGGATTGGTCAGCATTTTTCTGACCAAATTTCTTAAGATGAGTTTCACCATGCAGGAGTTTTACCTAATGTACCATAGATATCTAGTAGTGCCATGTAAATAAAACAATATTATAACTGAAAGGAACCAAGTCTAGGGAGGGTGAGGAGGAGGAAGGAAGGTAAAAGCCATTTGCCAGAAAAAGGTGATATAGCATCTACAAAACCGCAAGTGTCTTAGGTAGTGCAAGACATATGAAGAAAATCGCACCAACATTTGCCATTTGATCATAAATCATATATAATAAGACCATCTTCCTTCGTATGTCAGACCGGATCTTATCTTGGATAAATAACCCTTTTATTACCTCAGATGTAGGAGAAATTTAATTCACATTTAAGCAAAAAACTGGTAAACATAATCCCTGATAATTACACTGTATCGACTGCATAATTATTTAAGTTTATAAACTAAAGCAAATGCAGTTATCTCTGTAAAGAAAAAAAAAATCGCAAAAATGAAACCACCTATCATATGAATTACAATTTTATTCCTTTTTCAACTATTGCTTCTAAATTTAACTTGCACCTGAGAGCTGGTAAAGAAAAAAAAAGTAAGCGTATAAGCCCTTCAGAATATAGAAGACAGGTGTGGAACTGTGTTATCATAGCAGTAAGGCCATCCTAGCTGTGAAGAAGATCAGTGTTATTCAGCATTCAGATTAGCAGCCAGAACCCCACATCTCCTGGGCCATACAGTTTCCTCCAGTGGTACTTCCGAGTCTTTGCTGCTCATGTCCTAAACTACCTGCAGCTCCCTCATATAGTTCAGTTCTGGCTTGGGCAAGAAGCAATACATGCTGTGGCTGTTTTTCAGTTACAAAGGGTTGAGTGGCTAACAAACACACAGATACTCATTCATCAGCTGGCAGGACTGAAAAAATAGGTAACTGACATACTCACACTACAGTCTTCAACACAAGCATGTTCTTTCAAGGCGCTCTCTTTTACGTAGCACAAATTTCACAAAAACTGTAGGACATTAGCACCTCCAAGATGTCAATTTTTAAATCCAAATTTGAACAACAGGTCGAAAACCCATAGCAGGTTGAAAACCCACAAAAACCCAATGGGGTTATAACAAGGCAAACAGATAGGCAGGCTCACACCTGTATAAACTCCATTAGGAAACCAAGCTAAAAACCTAATGAATAACATACCTTTTGGAACAGGGTTAATTCCAAAGATGGCCAGTTAGCAGTTACACAGACAAGCTATTCTGAACCCACCAGGATGGTCGGTATGAAATGAACCTCCTTTTTTGATAGAGGCAAAATAGAAAGAAGACTAAGCACATTATCCCTCTCTGGGTAAAGTGACAACATTCTACACAATCAACACTATTTGGAAAGAAGAAAAAAAAAAGTTTTCAAGTAGATTTTTGTGAATTTCAAGAATTTATTTTTAATATGTTTGCCCAGAACTTACATGATCAAAACGTAACACAACAGCTGTAGCATAGCTGTGCCATCACAATGTATAATATAACTTCACATTAATCCTGTTTTCTTCAATAAATCTAAGGTGCAATTAACAGTTTCGTGCGCTGATTTTTGATTAAGTGAACCAGGACTCTTCCTACATCTCTGTATAACTAGTTATGATCCACTGCATAAGTAAAAACTTTAAATTGCTATTTAACTTGCTATTTATATTACCTTACATTTCAACTGCTATCATACTGACTATTTCTTTTAACTCAAGATTTCTTAACTTACCTAAAAGAAATGTCTGAAGGCAGATCATATTCAACAGTTACCCCCTCAGATCATTTTAAAAAGTGCTCCAAAATAAGGCCGCAAATACTGATTTCAAGGTCCCCTCTCCCATTCCCATTGGAATATGTTATTCTGAAGAGTAATAAAATACCTTAGTTTTGCTTATTGCAAGGATACTGCTAGTAAGTGAATATAAAGACTGTAAGCTTTAAAGACTTAACAGATTAATTATAATTATAATCAATACTGGAGGACCCTGAAAGACTAACCTACCAAGTGATAACACATCAGATAAAACATAACTTTGAGAAAAATTATGAGAAAAGGATACAATGATAATCATCCACTTAACTATTTTTGCACAAGTAATAATGCAAAGTTCAATATGAATTCAAAATTAATGGAACACCGTATTTTATTTCTGAAGATTCAAAACATAACTAAAATGAAAACAAGGAAATGGTTTCATTTCCAAGAGAAACACTTCATTAAATGTTCCAGAAATATCTCTCATTACAAAATGGTTCTCTGTGTTAAGTTTAAAATATTACATAAAATATGATGAAATGCCTACTGCCTAAAACACTTCACTGGAATAAAATCAGATCCTCAAAAAAAGAAAGGTCTCTCATCATTACTAACTGAAATACTATCAGTAATTACCAGATTCCCTCTGGCTATCAAGAAACCAGGTGTCTTAAGTCTAAATTTTGGCTAATGTTGCCTATACAAATTCCAATGTGTATTTTCTACTTTCAGAACAACTATACAGCTAAGACAAGTATAAACAAAACTTTCTAGCAAAGTCCTGGAATTCCCAAATGCTCTGAGATTTAATATAATTGTTCCTTTACCTCTGTAAATGATGTAAGACTAAATACATGACATATAAAAAAGCATGCATAGTTAAGACTTTTCCACTCAACCAGCCCTTCAATGTAATAACAATCATGGGCAGGAATTCTCAATTACCAGATTATATAAACCCTACGTTATTCTCACACTTGTTAAATCATGGAAAAGACAGGAAGAAAAGATATTTCAGAGTAAGATAGCACAAAAGATCTCCCACAATATTTGTGTCAGGCTATCCCAGATCTTATAAAACCAGCCTCTACAATCTCTTCTTCACATAGTATGTTTTGAAGACTCAAAGACCACACTGTAATTTTCAAACCTACTTAGGTTTATTTTCATTTCCGATTCTCTTAACCTTTGACTTTCTCAGAGAACAGATAGTACAGCGGTGGGATGAATTAATATTCACCTGTGATAGCTCCTGATATTAAAAAATGGTGGTAAACTGTTGAGTTTAACTTTTCAGACATAATGCACCTACTTTCCTTCTTTGCAGACACAAAAGGTATCAAAACTGTACCAGAGACATCCCACAGTATGTAAGAAATCATTCTCATTCACTGTCTAAATGAAACAACACATGCTAACTACAAGAAAATACAAGATCTCTCTGCACTTCTTGAATCCATCTGATCAACATCTCACTAAAACAACAGGTTGGTCAAATTTTAAACAAGATGATCAATTTTACTGGAAAATGTTAAACTACAAACTGCCTAGCTAAAATAGCAACAGATCCAAATTTAAATTTCTTTTTCTAAAGAGAGCTAAACATATTGCTAGGGATTTTCTTATTAAATTAAATAGGAATGTCTCTCCTCCTTACTCTATGTGAATGACAAAATAAGCAATACTGGAACAGAACAGGGGGGAAATTTAAGCCAGCTTCACTCAAAATAATGTGAAATCCATAAGACTGACACACTGAATGAAAAGACAAATATTTTTCCTCTGGTCTATTCCAGACAAGCAATTTTACTCACACAAATACTACATAAAATAAAGTTAGTCTTTGAATAGGTTGCTAATGTTCCTTTAAAAGTACCTGCAAAAAAATTATTTTGCTCAAGATCAAACATTGTTGTTCTTATAAACATATGCAACTTTTGAAGTCATTCTGGTTATACCAAATTATCATAATAAAGAATCACCTTTGGATTAGTAATTGGAAGAGAAATGAAATAATTTGGCTGATACTGTTTTTTCTTTTTCTTCTTTCTCTCACTGCCTTCTTCAATTTCCCTTCCAGTAGTCCTCTTTCTTTTCTTTTTTATATTTATTTCAGAAGTTTCATGCACTGAAGAGAAAAAAAAAATATTTTCAGCATACAGACAAATCAAAACAAAGAAACACCTAATATCATGCCGACAGGATCTGGACTTTAGTCAACTGACTGGACCATGTCTTTCCAGTCACCTGATCTCTCCACGCTCTGAACTGTCTGATTGGGATCCTATTCCATCCTGAATGAATGTAGTCACACATGTGGAGTACCATACTTGAACTAACAGCTTACACCTCTAAGCAGGCATAGACACACAGCTTCCAACTACTGTGTTCCATTTAGCCAACTCACACTGCAGTGAGGCCTGCTAATTGTCTACACTCGAACATGGACATGACTTTAGAGCAAAAGGGCCGACACTAAGTTTCAAAAATCCCATGCATGCTACATTTTGAAATATAAAACACAATAATACATAGGATTATTAAAGGAAAAGGTTGTATTAGACTAGGACTGACCAACCTATATTTCAAGGACCTAACCCAGCCCAGAAGAAAATTTAATCCAAGCCAGATCTACTCTCTACCTCCTCCTTTCCTGAAGACACCTTCCAACATAGCAAAAGAAAAGCGCATGTCCTCAATTCTTCCTTTGCACCATAAATCATTTTTCTCCCAGCTTATTTCCTCAAGCCTTTGCAGACCCTCTCCCACCACGTGGCCTGATACATACCCATAAGCTGACCAGGCTGCAGACATCCTCTGTCCCATTAGAGGTGCACTTCTAGCCCCATGCTGGGAATACACACATTAAAAGACAGCCCATAAAAGCCATCACTTGTGAAGCTCATATGCAGTAATGTGAATTGACATACAAGATGTCTTTATTCATTGCTACTCATTGCTGCAATGGATCACAAAATTGTAAATTTTTAATATGCTCAAGTATTTGCAGGACTGCGTACCAATATGAGAGGCTCTGGACAGGATCCTGTTTGCAGGGAGACCCTGTTCCATGTGCACAGCCCACTTGCACATACCAACATGCAGGACTATGAACCGAGTACATGATGTGTCTATGCTTCCACACTATTTCTGTTTTAATATACTTACTAACAAATTCATCTTCAATATCCGTGTCGACAAATGGCATTTCTGCCATCAGAGAGTCTACCGAATCTGCAGGACATGGCTCTTCTCTCTGTTGTGTCTTTTTCTTATTCTCTTTAAAGATTTTTTTTTGCTGTACATTTTCCAGCCCATCTGTAATGTATTTAAAATAACACACTGGGTCTCAGTTTTTGATATAAACAGCTAAGAGACATTATACACAAGCAGTATACTAAGCATACATTTCTCTAATTATCAGCAAGTAAATGTTGACATATAACTCCCTTAAGAATGCTGCTCCTCTTCCTTGTAAACATATCAGCAAAAATACTTCAATGCTTTATGTGGAACACCAAAAAAAGGGAGTTCAGCCTTTTGTATTTAATAACTTATGGTCTTGTTCAGTTCTAAGTCAATGCAATTAGGTGGGAAAAAAGGATACTTAAAGCATAAAAAAAAATACAGTCTTCAGACATCACATAAAGTTCACTTTAGATAACAGCAATGGCATATGAAATTCAGTGCAAACATTGGCAAATGAATTCCAATGTAAACACACTGAAAATGAGGCACGAAGGAGCAGGAAGGGAATCCTACCATTCCACATATAACAAAGAGTTCTCAGCCGAGTATGTCATTCAGGAATGAGATGATTATTCTATTCCTGCATCTCCCACACAGTATAACATGTTGTAGACAGTAAGGATCTGAACGTCTGGTTCTAAAAACCGACTTTTAGCATTTAAAAAGGAATCAATATAAATCAGAACTCATCTTGCATGCATAAAGATATACATGAAGTTCTATCTCATACCACAATGACAGAATAATCTCAGCTAACAAGTTTTTTAAAATGTCCTTTTCCCCAAGAGTACTAAGCATGAGTCATTTCCTTTTCCTCTCCATGTTTCTGCATCAGTAAACTCTAACATTTGTGTATTAAATTATACCTTAAAAAATGAAAAAGTAAAATCTTCTCTATCAGCAAACAATGTGCACATAATCAGGGATACAGAAATATTCTTTTGGGACAACTCCACAATGGGATTACTGTAGTGGAAAGAAGCCTTATGTCAGAATCACAGTTTATCCCAGGACAGCTCATTACTACAGACAACACACTTTCAAAACTCCTCTTGTGACCAGTTCTGATAGTCCAGATCTGGCCCAAGGGGGAAATCTGGCAGCAAAAGTGCATATTGCGTCCTTGCGGCATGCAAAGCTACACTATATGTATAAAATCAGTATTACAGACCCAATCTGGGTTATTAACGCCCTGTGGAGTGTTTCTTGCATATAGCACTTTATGCTAGGGAAGATAAGTAAAAGAACAACCTGATTAAATGCTAATTCACTTCTGTCTAAAGTAGAGAGGCATACATCACTCTGTGGTTGTGGTTTGACACCTAACTTTATCCCAGAGGCTATTAAGAAGAAACAAAGTATTTAGATTTGTTGCTTGTTCCCCTGTAAACACTAAAGAACTATACACAACAAACACATGTTAAAGCAATAATAAAATTATTACTTAACGTTTAGATTAAAGCTCACACAAAACAGATCGTTGCCAGTGATCCACAAGCATACAGAAAACAATTCTTCCTTCAAAGAGATCTCAAAGTGAAGACCAAGATAAAAATCCATGAAACCGACAACCAAGTAGGTCAGTCTGGGGCAGAAAAGTTATCAACAAGATTCAGAAATGCAGAATCATAACCAGCTGGGAGCAAAAGGGATTTGTTATGGTAGGATCAGCTGCAGAACAAGGACTCGCATAAACCTGAGGGGTGTATATTGCAGATTACGCATTTCCTTTTGCTCTGTCCGCTCAAAGAGGAACATACTTGTGCCACTTTGAAAAATTCTGTCTGCTCACAATAGCAAATGGCCATAGCAAAGGCACAGCTATTGATTCACAACGTTCCTTCTCAAAGCAATTGAGCTGAACAAGCACTGCTTCTAAATGCTACAGGTTGTGCCTAAAGCAAAAGAATTCCATCCCTCACCGTTTCTGAAATATTTATTAAAGAATTCAGCAACAAAATTAAAGAATTATGTTCTAGTCACTAAAACAACCTGAAAACAATTTTTTTTTCAAAATTCTTGAGATAATGTTGATAATCTGAGACCTAAGTAATAAAACCAGCTTCCATAGGAACTGTTTGACCATCAAGCAGTATAGGATAATCTTTTTTCTTAATTGCATGCTTAATTATATTAGCCTGAATTTCATATACAAACAGGTGTACACATTATTCCCATATTTGTATTTAAGGGGCTGCTCATCCTCGTTAGTATTTAAGTAACCTGTTCCAGCAGAAAAAAAAGTTATGATGAACCTAGCACATAAAGGGGAGAATACAAAAATAAGGTGCAATAAAACATATTTGATTGCACCCCTTTCCCAGTCTTCTCTCCATGCTCAGACTATTGTTTCAGATACAATCATCTATTACTTGACACCTACACATCAGAGATCACAGTGAGATTAGGTCTCCTGGCACCGTTCCCTGTTTAGTATGTTTATGTTAATATTTTTAATATGTTTATGTTAATACGTTTAACACATTTCTATTCACACGTTTAGTAACAAATAAAACCCATGGGGACAATTTAACTGAAAGCTGCTGTAGGAATAGATGGTCTTACTTTCCAGGCATTTTGAACTCCCAGTGCTGGCACTAGAGTTCACATAGTGAACTGAAAAAATTTTTAAAAAAATCCCAACAAACAAGCTTTGGAAAAATAAGATGGTAGGTTTAGTATCCAGCCAGGTCAGATGCTTACACGCCTGGGGACAGAGCGGGGCCGGCAGGGAAAACAAAAGCAGAAGACTTTTTAGCCAACAGCGCACAAGTGGGTTGAAGTAATTTTCTCCTACGATCTCCACAACCTCTGCTGTGAGGTCTACCCCTTCCCATTTGGTAGTTGAACATGTGTGTGCACAAGAAAGTGTGTGCAAAAAAGCCATAGTTTTTTTTTTTTTCACAGCCGCCCTGCTCAACCGTCACCGTTTAACGGCTAACGGACATCAAACAACATCGGGCCTCCTCCCCTCCCTCACAGCACGACCCCCACGCTGCCCGTCGGCAGCCGGAGGGCGCCCGGGACCGCGCTGA